AGATGTTGACTTTAAAAGTACACGAAATTAATACAGACATAAATAATTAAATTTTCATTTTGGAAGTAGTTTTTAGTTTCTCTTACCGTTTGAAAAATATTTTGCACGAATGTTTTCAATTTGGTTTGACTACTTTAAAATGTATTGAATATATACACTTTCAATTTGTTCTTCTTTTCAAATACTCCTGATAACTCATTTAATTAACAGACTTAGACTTCTAATTTACTAAGGTTGTTGAAATATAATTGATTTTTGATGTTCATCTATACAATCTATACCATTGGTGTTCATCGATACCCTTTTAGAAGAAGACACAAATCTATATGGCAATGCCGTGTCAGTCGCAAACAATGGAAGCCAACAAGTTGTTCAAGACTTTGTTCAGAGCATTTCATAACCAAGAGAGGTCCGACAAAAGATCATCCATTGCCATCAATATTTGACCACAAGATATTTAAGACAACAAACGTAAGTATTTGTTTTTATTTCTAAACACTTTTATTGTGTTTTTAAAAGGTGTCGGAAGTTCAACATATACATGTCTATAATTTATAAATCATTTTTTTTAGTGTTTTTAAGAAATTATTTAAAACTTTTTGTTACAATACTGCTGTGATTTATTATAATTCCATATGTGTATATTATTTCTATGGCCATATCAGATGTTTAAAGGTGTCCAAAAACATACATGACATGTACAAAAAGTGTAATTTCATGTACATGATTTCGATTATCGTTTGTCCAGGGAATTTTATCCCTATCTTTTATCAGCCGGTAGGATACACCCAATTGAAAGAATAAGAAAAGCACATGTATCATATGGTTCTCTTTTATGGTGCCTACACCAATAATTAATGTTGACACATCCTGAACTCTTGGAAACTGATTTATACTATTGGTGTTCATCTATACCATCTATATCATTGGTGTTCATCTATACCATCGGTACCCTTTTAGTAGATTGAATATCTTGTTTAATTCAAATACTTATACTTTTATTCATAGGTCATATGAACTTCTTCTCTCTTGTTATAGGAATCTGTATTGGACGGATACTTTATTTGTCCGTAAGGGATGTGTCAATACACAGTCGCATCCAACTGAATAGGAACGATAAAATATATTATCATAATTAATCCTCGTGTTTGGATAGTAATATGCTTTCTGAATGTTAAATAACCCTCTCAACAAGTCGTCAACTTATGTACATGTATATAGATCTTTTAGTAATTACTGTCAAATATTCAAGTATCTCTTTAAAGTGAAAGTCAAAATGAGTAGGACCAATTTCCCCTAAATTTATTTCCCACAAGGGTCAATCTTGAAGGCTTTCAGTTTTTGCTTAAATTCATAATGTCACAACAGTTAATTGAGTGGGGTGTCCTGTGAGGTTCTAACCATATTTTGGATTATTTCTTATAAAGTTACCAAATTATAACAATCTGTATTTCACCAAATTCCTGATAAGGGAATAGAAACATGATCTGCCAGAAGACCAATGCCTAAGAGGGACATCCGTCAAGCTATGTACAGAATATAAATTACATAGCCACGTCTGAACGTAATGGGACAGTTAAATCCTATACCTCTTGTAAGGTGCATGACTGCCACGCTCTCTGCAAGTCGATAAAACCTTGCAATAGCATTTTTGAGGGAGCCGAAAATGGACCTTTGTAAGTAAAATTTTCTTAACCTCGCCAACATACCCTCTTTTTCAAATGACAGTAAATGTTTTCACGATTCACTTAACAAAAAAAGAGGCGGACGGTACAAGATGGATAGCCAAACTTATAAGACGAAAACTAACTAACAATGCCATGGCAATAAACGAAAAACGACCAAAAAACAAACAACAGTCTTCAAAACACAACATAGTAAAAACTAAAGAATGATCAACACGAACCCTACCAAAAACCGGAAATGATCTCAGGTGCTCCGAAAGAGTAAGCTCAGGTGCTCCGAAAGAGTAAGCAGAATCTGCTCCACATGTTGCAACCTACGCGTTGCTCATGTAAGTACAAACCCGGCGATAAGTATAATTTTGTAGGTCACATCCGTGAAAAAAAGGACAGAACTGTGGTTACGACAATTGGAACATATCCGTCGTCATCTATGAATCAGATACTCTATAAAGATCTGCCAGTTTGTAATGGCGTTTGTAAAATTAACGAAAAGATAACTCATGGTTTAATAGCTTCCGTGTGTAAGCAGTAACCCTCTATCAAGGAAATCATGATTGGAAATGCTAGCTCTGGAATATTGTATTAACTGGGAGATATATACTCCATATGCAGTCGCTTCTTAAATGTTGCTACAGAGAATTAGTTAGTTCACAATTTGGAAGCTGATTTCATCCCTTTTGTCGTAAATGTTTGTTTCCAACCGACCCTCATTGTTAATTTCTAGGTGTAAGTCAAAATATGAGCTGGACTTAAGTATATCTGTTGTATCCTTTATTTCAAGTTTGATGGGATAGATGCGTTTAATATAGTCACCAAACTTTGAATTAGTCGGTGAAAGAACATCGTCTATATAAGCGGAACGTGAAGTTAAAGAATAATGCACGCTTCTTTTCGTTCTTTCTTAGAAGTTCCCGTATGAAGTCTGCCTCATATTAATAAAGGAACAAGTCGGCAGGAAGAGAGGCAAGTTGGTTCCCATGGGAATGCCGATTGTTTGTTAAAAATACGTCCCCCGAACGTAACAAGTATGTCGTCTACATAAATAACAAAGAACCAACATTTAGATTTTATTACTTTTTTGTTCCCGTCCTGAATAGCATTAATTATTTGTCAATTGTTGTCAATGGTTGTTAAGCCAAACCACAATTAATCACTTTTTATTTAATTTTATTTGTCTACAAAAGCAGTATTTAACATTTTGATGTTATGGATAGAAGTAACATTATTGATATATATTCAAATATATTACTATGTCCCTTTGTTATTAAATTTCCAGAAGGTGTCAACAACTTTCTGAAATCGACTCCGCAGCAAAACAAATCCCGGGGAATTTGAATACACGTGTACCTCGTTTTAAAATTGGTCTGAAATACCAATCAATTAGTATTTATCTCAAAAATTGATTTTATAATTGTGTATATCTTATATGTTCAAATAAGTTGAAGGTTATTGAACGTTGAGGGGTCCGTGTATAATTGCGTCCATTCGTTTTTCGTTTTGAGTATTCAAAAACGAAAAAAAAAGTTACGTCCATTCGTTTTTCCGTTTGAGATATCATTAACGAAAAAGTGTTTTCGTTTTTTGCTTTTGATTTCTTAAAACAAAAAAATAAAAACAATAGTATTTTCGTTTCTCGTTTTTTGATAACTTAAAAACCAAAAATGAAAAACAGAAATATTTTCGCTTTTCATTTTTGAGTTCTTCCAACTTTTCAAATGATTCATTTTGTTTATCAATGTCTTTTGGTGCAAAATTTGACAAAACATGTAAAATTTATAATTTTGTATCAATATGCCTTCAACAGCAAAATGAAGCGCAGCGACTCTTTTCACAAAAAAATCTTACGATTAAAATTTATCGTAAGTTATACTGAAATGTGTATGACTTACGAGTATTTTTACTCATAAAATTTCTTGTGAAAAGAGCCGCTGAATCGCATTTTGAGATTATGGAAATATGGAAATGTGTAAAATTGTTAAAAGATATTTTAATTATATGATATAGACTCTTTAATATCAATTTCTAGTGGAATAAAGATAAATATATACAACAAATTTTAGATTTTCATCCTGTGAGTGAAACAAGTACCTGTAAATGTAGAAAACTTATTTGAAACGGAATAGCACATCCTAAACTTTTACGGTGATGTTGTTAACCGAGCCCGGAACTTTAGATACGATCCGGGGAAACTTATCAATGCTTTAAATAAACTTATTCTAAAATGTTACCAATTCAACACTGTAATTAAATCTTTGAATATTTTTTTATTGGTATAAATATTGATTTTGTTATCAGTAAACTAAAACCATACTAAATATTATTGTTATACACATATGTACTTTCACGATACCGCAATCTGTCGATACCTATATTTTGCCATTGCACAGGGTCATGTTTTTTTCTGACTTTTAATGACGTCTTTACACTGAAATCATTGGATGTTGGATGTATACTGATTGATATTTTAGTCTTAGATACATAGTTTTTTTATTAGTTGTTTTTGGCTTTGAACTAGCTGTCAGTAACTGAGAGTACTCTCAGATCTGTACTAAGTGTCTTTTTTGTTGTTAGGGATGAGGGATGGATAAATATCCTGTCACGTCTGGTCTGTGATTTTGTTTCATGTTTTTTTAATTGCTTTGTATCGAACTGATGAGTTACGCCTTTTTGAACTGATTTTTATAGTTAAATTTTGATCTTATGTTGTGCTGTTACACCACCATGACCACTGTCCCAGGTTAGAGGGAGGGTTGAGCGCTCACAAACATGTTTAACCCCGCCACATTCTTTATGAGCCTGTCCCAAGTCAGGAGCCTGTAGTTCAGTGGTTGTCGTTGGTTCATGTCTGTCATATTTGTTTTTCGTTAATTGTTTTGTTATAAATTAGGCCGTTAGTTTTCTCAATTGAATTGTTTCATATTTTTCATGTCAGTGCCTTTTTAGCCGACTATACGGTATGGGTTTTTCTCATTGTTGTAGGCCGTACGGTTGCCTATAATTGCTTACATCCACTTCAACTTTGGCGGATAGTTGTCTCATTTGAAACATACCAAATTTCCTTATTTTTCTACAGTAGAAATTAACTTAACCCCTTTGCTATTTTGCATGAATTTACCCTCAACAGCAACATACAGCATTGAATAACATTTTGATTTTATGGAAATATGTAAAATTGTGACACAATATCTTGCAGTGTACTTCATTGATATAGACTCCTCAATAATTTATATTTTGACCCTATGAGTATAACGAAATCAGAGATCTATATTTTAACTAGATTGTTATAACAAACAACTTATTTTACAAAACACTCACCTGCAGCAAACGTGCAAGTATTACAAAACTGTAACCGTGGTGGTGGATGATATGTTTCTGGCTTCTTGTTGTATATGTCAGGTAGACAACCGTTTTGCAAATGCTGTTGTAGACTACTGTTTTAATACCACAGTAAGGTGTAAAGCTGTTCTTTATTACGAGGGTTCAAGAGTAACAGCTGTTCTTTATTACGAGGGTTCAACTTGCTTTCGATTCCTTCCACTCCCCGCGATAAAGCCTGTTTGTGCTGATGCGGTGTAAAACAATCATCAATCACTAGTTTACTCAATCGATTCCTTCTTTATCATATTGTATTAAAATGACAGGCGATACTTAAAATTGATATCCGGTTAATATATAATTACTGTATAGTTTACAACTTGCGACAAAAAGTTTTAATTAATAATAATTAATGTAATAGTTTAACCTATCAACTGTTATGTAAAATACATAATGTAACGGGGCTTTAATCTGTCTGTTTTATACCTAGTCATATTTCGGATCTATGTATCCGGGATCAATAACTCCATCCTGCTCGTTAGCATAGGGAACTAGCTATTTTGTAACGTTTCTCCGTAAGCTCACTACTGTTGATAACGAAGTCTGTTTAAAAAAATGAAAACAACACGTTTAATAAGTTCATGCGTCCGAAGCGCTTTTCTGGATTTACCTTCATCAGGAACGCTCAAAGCCAAACATTTGAAATCCGAGGGATGTATAAGTACCGAAACAGTTGAAGAGCTATATGACAAAAATTCCAAAAAAAAATAGCCAAATTCATCTAAGGTCAACTTTGCCTGAGGGAGTTGAAACCTTAGCTTCTTTATAATTTCAAAATTTATAAACGGACAAATTTAGAAAAGTTTGTTATAAATCATGTCAGTACCGAAGTACTGACTACTGATCTCTTGATACCCTCGGGGACTGATAGTCCACCAGCAGTGGTATCGACCCAGTGATGTAAAAAAATGAAAACAACACGTTTAATAAGTTCATGCGTCCGAAGCGCTTTTCTGGATTTACCTTCATCTTTAATGTTCACATGTTTAATCATATAACAGCACAAATATATATAATATATGTAAAGGTTCACAATTATAATTTCCAATTAATATTCGTGCATACAACTTGGTACTTCAAGCTACTACTGACCAATATAAAGTTTATCACAAGATCGTGCTACTAAGACCTGTTTTCTTTATTTAGACTAAACATTGCTTTATGGTTTTAGAGTATTTTGATAAACTCATCAATGTTATTGCAACTATACTGGGCATCCCATGTACCGTATAAACTGTCACATTAATCAAGATGAAAGATCAACTGTTTAAGTATTGACCATCAACTCTTTGATGTAACTGACCACACCCCAATACAATGAAACTGATTAACAACTGTATAATAAAACAACATGCAATTATAAATTTATGCACAGTCAAATTATATGCAAGAGAAATGAATTTGTGTAAAAACACTAAAATATTATTCAAACAAAGCAATACAATTCTTAACGCAAAATTGACACCGGGAATCAGTGTGAAATAGTATTTTATAACTATCTATTTTGTTTTGTAGAAATTCAAGCACTAAAAGATGTATCTTAATTTTTTTTTATGTTTTCAACAAACAATTTTTTACCACAAGTTATGTTTTACAATTTCACTTACCGCAAATTTTACACTTGGAATCAATTTAGAATATCATAACAAATGCTATATTATTTTTTTGCTGGAATCTTTGGGACAAAAGATGTTTAAAAAAAGTTTTTACCGCAAATTTTTTCATCCTATTTCATAAATAAAATTTTGACATCGGTAATAAATTTGGAATTATAGCATATACCTACATGTATCACTCATTTTAGTTTTTTTTTTTTTGTAATGATGTGTTGGGTTTTGGTTTCGATATGATGATGTCTATATACTTTATAACTGTGTCCTTTTTTTGCAGATTTATGAAAATAAGGAGCTGTGGTATGATTGCCAATGAGACAACTATCTACCAAAAATCAAATGAAGCGGATGTAAGCAATGATAGGCAACCGTACAGCCTTCAGCAGTAGGAAAACCCCATACCGTATAGTCGGCTATAAAAGGTCCCGACATGAAAAATGTGAAAAAATTCAATCGATATAAATAACAGCCTAATTTGTAACAAAACAATTTACGAAAAACAAATATGACAGACAGCAACCAATGACAATCACTGAATTACAGGCTCGTGACTTGAGACAGGCACATATAGATTGTGGCGGGGTTAAACATGTTTATGAGCTCTCAGCCCTCCCTTACCTGCAATAGTGGTGTAACAGCACTACATAAGAACAAACTGCAAATATCAGTTGGAAAAATGGCTTGACTCGTCAGATGGGCATGAAGTGCAAAAACAACTAACATTAAGACAAAGCACACAAAGTGGTGATCTAACACTTATGCTCCTACATCCTGGAAATACTTACACAAGGTCATGCTTTTCATAGACTGTTTACTCTAAATGTGTTGGAAATGTATTGATTGATATCAGTTATAAAAAGCATATTAGGTTGTACTCAAAATGTTTACACGCCCGTGCGGGTGCACTCGACTCCAATCTTAATTGACTAGGATTGTCAGTTTTCCTATCGAAGGTCGGTGGTTTTCTCCGGGCACTCCGGCTTCCTCCACCAATAAAAACTGGCCGCCACGAAATAGCCCAAATTTTCGGCGCTTAAAAGTGGCGTTAAAACACCAACAATCAATCAATCAATCAAAATGTTTACAATTGAAGATTTTGGTGAAATATTGTTTTTCTTGTTTAATCGGTATCGTTCACGTAACTATACTCTCGAAACCAAACATTTGGAAGGCAAATCATAAGTGAAGGATATATCATATATGTAAAGCTTGTAATATCTTATTTACAGTGGTAAACTCACCGGTATTTAATGACTTTAAAAAGCATATTTAAATGACAAAATTAACATATACAAAAAGTATCTAAACAAATCATAGCTCGTAATATTATTTATTTTCATATTATATAATTATGATCATATCATATTCTTCGATTGTATAACAAATGTTTCAACTCATTTTGTTTTGTTCACAATAAACGTCATCAAATATATTTTCAATTAAAATCGATCTGTTTTTCCTAAGAAACAAGTGGGTTTTTTTGTGTATCTACCATAGATATATCAAAAAGCTAGACAAACAATATATTAATAAAGTTAGATAAAAAACATAGTTAGATTAATTTCGATGAAATGACATTGTACGACTTTGCCCCAAGCAGAGCTATAGAAAAACAGTACATTAACGGGTGTTACATGGACACTTTTTAGATGATACACGACACTTTGTAGTTGTTACACGGACACTTTTTATGAATAGAATCACTCGTGCATGATCAGTGAGTTCATGGGCACTTTAAATTTCAATTAGATTTGAACTTTTTGTTTCAACGACACATTTCCTGTCTTTTTTATTAAAATATTTACGTTGGCATCAATAACTATATTTTTTTTCAAACAATTCCAGTATATTACTATTCATATCAGTACACTAAGGGACTGACCATTTAACTTCAAAAGGGGGGTTATGGTTTTTTCCTAAAAAATATTCTGATCCCCAATTTTATGAGAAAAAATATATTGTCGTCAAGCAGATGACAAAATAATGTTCTGATTCCCGATTTTCCGAATACCGTATATAATAGTGCTAATTTTAAAAAAAAAATATTTGGGTGATAGCGTTGAAAAACTAAATAATTTTCTTACTCAGAAAAAACATACCCTCCTTTTGAAGCTAAATGGTCGGTCCGTAAATGGTTTTTTTTCTTCAATATATGGACATGAATAGTGTTCTGGACAATGCTGAAAGTAAAGAAATCCTGGTACCGACGTTTATATTTCAATAAAAAAGACAGGACACATATATATATAAAAAAAAAACCAAATATAATCAAAAGATAAAATCCCTATCAATTCAGCAATGCACGATTGATCCTATAGATAAAAAATGTCCGTGTAATAAAAAAAATCATTCAACTTATCTCACCAATTTTGGACGGTACAATGTAAGGGATCATATTGTGACACGTGTTTAATCCTGACCAACTCTATCAGAGACATAAAAACATATAAGCATGAAAATTTAAAAAAAAAATCCAAAATATGCCTATATATCTCTAATAACAAGACAAAATCCATTTTTTTATAAGATTTCATTCACTAATGAAACAGGAAATTTATTCTTTTGATACATTTATATTGTTATTGAATTCATATATATTGAATTCATATATTTGGGAGCAAACGTACGATTTCTTTTATTTTTTTAAGGGGGAATGGGGGGATGGAATGGCACATCCTGCATTTTTTTCAACAAAAAAAGGATCAAGCCTGTTTTTTTTTAATTTTATTTTAACACCCCCTCCCTTTTCCGTTTTTCCCCAAATAAAAATCAAATGTTAGCTTGCTTACCTCTGAAATCTTTTTCATACATTACTTACTTGCGAAGTTGTATTTTAAAAAGTCTCAAATGTGTACGACATTCATCTTTTACTTGACATGGTTCTTTTTTATAAAATTATGAGATTCTTGAATTTCTTGAGAAAAAAAACTCTCGGCTGAAGGAAAGTGAAAAAAAGGTTGTTTAAACTGTAACTTACATTAACTGGTATATGGCCATTTAAGTTTCTAATCTGTTCAATTTTGTTACCTCAGTCTTCTAAATGCAAAATGTACTACTTCTTTCTTGGAACGTCGTACAAGTCAGATACAAACAAATATAACAAACAAAGACAGGCCGGAAACAAACTGCCGTATAGTTCTTCTGCACTTGTAGTCAGGTCAAGGTCCTCGGATATCGCCTCGGACCTTCATCTGACTACTCGTGCAGAAAAACTATCCGGCAACAGTTGTTACCGGCCTGTTTCTTTGTTAACTTTGTATTGTATCTTATACATAAATATATATTTAATTTAAATGTATGTAACAAAATGTTGTTTAGATAAGATGCGTAAAAAAAACCAAACATTTACAATCAGAATGTTACATAAGCATAAGCTATTTTGTTACCTAATAATTAGAATTCACGTCATCAATTTAATAAAATAGAGGGTAAGGTCTCAACCTATATTCTTACTATAGAGATAAATGTGGCCCAGTAATGTCGTCAGTGTTCTTTGAACATATATTATTTTATTAAAAAGCTGAACTGATTGCTGTCAAACGTGCAGTGGCAAGTTTAATGCATGAGC